GCTATGGAAAGAAAGTTTTCTAAAAATCCTGTTTTGCAGAAGGATTATCGTGATTGTATTAAGAGTTATTTAGATAATGATCATAAGTATGTCTCTCTTATCAAATTATGAAATTTCAAAACCAGGTTACTATCTGCCATATCACGCTGTGTTTAAAACAGATAGCTTAACCTCAAAAACGCGAGTTGTTTATGACGGTTCTACAAAAACATCAACCGGTGTATCTCTTAATGAAACATTTCTAAATGTTCCAGTCATTCAAGAAGATTTATTTTTGATTGTCACTCGTTTTCGAAAACATCCAGTCGCTCTAACAGCTGATATTCAGCTAATGTACCAGCAAATTCGTGTCGCAGAAAATGACAAATTTTATCAAAAAATTCTGTAGTACGAAAACAGTAACGAACAGATTAAAATTTATTCTTTGAATACAGTTACTTTTGGCACCTCTTGTGCACCATTTTTAGCAATCAGAGCATTGCACCAATTAGCTGACGATGAACAAAAAGCATTTCCAGAGGCTTCAAGAATTCTAAAAGAAGATTTTTATGTCGATGACCTTCAAACGGGCGCTCAAACAATTTCTGAGGCTCGCCAAATTCGTGACGACTTAATTAATTTATAAGCCAAGGGAGGATTTCCTATTTGAAAATGGGCTTCAAACAAACGTGAATTATGTGAAGAGCTTGTAGGAGATATTTCGAAGAAGTTTATGTCATTAGATAATATAGACTCAGTTAAGGCTTTGGGAATTAACTGGGATCCTCGTTCCGATTCTATTTTTTATTCGGTAAAATCGTTAGATTCAAACGAATGCGACACTGAAATATCAATTGTCTCAAAATGTGCAAAACTTTTTGATCCAACAGGGTTAGTAGGTCCAGTTATTGTTATTAGAAAAATGTTAATCCAAGATCTTTGGAAACAATAATTGGGATGGGACGATGTAGTTCCGAATGAAATTTTAGAAAAATGGTTGGTTTATAAGAATCAATTACCTTTGATTAATAATTTACGCTTTCAGCGTTGTTTAATTCTTGAATCATCTATTGAATTTCAAATTCATGGCTTTTGTGACGCAAGCGAAAAGGTCTTTAGAGCGTGCTTATACCTGCTTTCAATTCACAGTGCAGGTAAAATTCATTGTGAACTCATTTGTTCAAAATCTTGTGTTGCGCCTCTGAAAATAATATCTTTACCTCGGTTAGAGTTATGTTCAGCTGTGTTATTAATTCAATTATATAAAAGCACAGTTCGTGCTCTTAAAATGAAAATTTCTAAATCAACATTCTGGTCCGATTCAAGTATTACATTGAATTGGATAAACACTGATCCTTATAAGTTATTAACCTTTGTTGCTAACCGAATTTCAGAAATACAGTCTAATTCTTGATCTACTGATTGGAGGCATGTTACCAGACAGGACAATCCAGCTGACTGCCTTTCACGCGGTCAGTTTCCTAATGAGTTTCTCGAAAATGATTTGTGGGTTTACGATCCTCAATGGCTCAAGGAAAATGAAGAAATTTGTTCAAAATTCGAATTCAAAGGTCAAGAAATATTAGAAAAGCGAACAAAAACAACCGCGTTAGTAATGACTTTCAAAGGTTCAATTGATCTTCTCAAAAGATATAGTAATTTGAAAAAATTGCAAAGAATTTTTGCGTATTGTTTAAGATTTATTAATAATTTAAAAATCAGTGATCAAAGGTTAAGAAAAAACAATTCTCTTTCAAATGACGAACTTCATGAGGCTTTAAAGGTTGTATTAAAATTAGTACAGGCTCAAGCCTTTTCCAAAGAAATTTTAGCAATATCAAAAAATGAATGCGTTGATTCGAAAAGTAGTTTACTTAATTTGAATCCTTTTCAAGAAGAAGGATTGTTAAGGGTAGGAGGAAGATTAGACCGTGCCGAATTTCCCGAATCTCAAAAACATCCTATTGTCTTACCAAAAGGACATCATGTTACAAAATTAGTTATTCAAAATGAACACATTAAAATATCTCATGCAGGTACAAATGCAACTCTTTACGGAGTTCGGGAAAATTATTGGCCAATAGATGGTAGAAATGTGTCTCGTCAAACTGTTTGTAAATGTATTACATGTTTCCGTGTGAAACCTCGAGAAATTAAATATATGATGGGTAATTTACCAAAAACTCGACTTTCATTGGTTAAACCATTTCTGAATGTAGGCGTCGATTTTTGTGGTCCTTTTTTGTAAAGGAACATCGACATCGAAACAGAACAAAGGTTAAAACATAAGTATCTGTTTTTGAATGTTTTGCTACAAAGGCAGTTTACTTGGAACGTGCCAGTGATTTATCAACTGAAGCCTTTCTAGCTTGTCTTAAACGATTCTTTGCACGTCGCGGGTTATCACAATCAATAAATTATGATAACGCAACAAATTTTATAGGTACAAATAACGAATAAAAAGGTTTAATGAAACAGTTATCTTCCACAATACAAGAAGAAAAAGTTCAAAATTACTTATTAGAACAAGCGGTAACTTGGCGTTTTATTCTCCCACGTGCTCCGCATTTTGGCGGCTTATGGGAAGCAGCAGTCAAATATTTCAAATATCCTTTTACAAAAATTGCAGGTAATACTCTTTTAACATACGAACAGTTGCATACCTATGTTGTAAAAGTGGAGGCTATCCTAAACTCTCGCCCTCTCACCCCGCTTTCATCTGATCCCAATGACCTGCTCCCATTGACTCCAGCTCACTTCCTCATTGGTAGCTCGATGACTATCTTACCTTCGGAGGATTTGCGACAATTACATGCTCACAGATTGAACTGCTGGCAACTTGCACAACAAATGCGCCAACACTTTTGGACGAGATGGAGTAAGGAATATCTCAACGAATTAATATCCAGGAGCAAATGGCAGACCAACAATAATCAGGACAATATCGCTTGCGAAACTCTTGTGATTTACCTTAGTAAATTTTATTTATATTTTCAATATCACTTTTAAAATTTATTGGATTTTTGTTTTTTATGATATAAATTAACTCTATTAATCGGCTTTTATTTTCATTTTGTTCACTTTCTAAAATTTTAACTTTGTTAAAATCAAAATTGAGTAAAAGAAATCTTGAGTCTTGGTGGAAAGTTTGCAATTTTGTTTAACAAAAAAACCTTACCAACTCCAAAAATAATTGCAAACATTGAAAATAGTATTTTTAAATTTCCATTAGATATTAAAGATAATATTAGAAATAATGTTGTTTATTGGATACAAAACTGGCATTTAAAATAATCAACTAAAACGTTTGAAGAATTAAAATAAAATAAGAAAATAATTGAAACAAAAAAATTCATCAAAAATAACCCAAATTTTATAATAGTCAATGCTGACAAAAGTAATAAGACAGTCATTTTAGAAAAACATGATTATGATGAAAAAGCTTATAATTTATTGAATGATATTAACACTTATAAAAAACTCAAAACAAACCTAACTGCTGAGGTTCAGGATGCCTTAAATAGTCTGATAGATTCTTGGTTTCTGAATCAACGTACCCACATAGCACAATAATTTTCTCCAAATTTGCGGCAAGTTTCCAAAGCCAAATTTGAAAACTTGCCTGGCAAATTTGCAGCAAACTTGCGGTAAATACCAAAATGTCCGTTTGGTGGCAAGTTTGCAGAAAACTTGCGTGGCAAACTTGCAGATAATTTTGTAGCAAACTTGAGGAAAATTTGCAGCAAACTTTCAAAAAACCTAAAAATTTCAAAAAAAATCTTTTTGTATTCAAAATGTATGTATTTTGATAAACGTTGCCTTCCCTGACAGGGAAGGTGACATAAATGTAGTGCGCAGCTCTAGATGTCATAGAAAACTACTGCGCATGCATTTAACATTTACTTTGCCATGCAAATTTTCTGCAAATTTGCTCTGCAAACTTGCCACCAAACGGACATTTTGGTATTTACCGCAAGTTTGCTGCAAATTTGCCAGGCAAGTTTTCGAATTTGGCTTTGAAAACTTGCCGCAAATTTTCAGAAAATGATTGTGCTATGTGGGTATAAGTGAAAATTCAAAAAGATTTTTGAAATGTAACAGTGGTTTGGCTTCAAAATTTTGTATTCTATCTAAACTACACAAAATTAATTGTCCAGCCATTACTTCCTTTGTAAACTCACCTTTATATAACCTATCCAGATTCAGGCTGGAGTCCCATGGTAAGGCTAACGCAGAATAGATCTGTAACCGGAACCGTAATCGTAAGCCTAACCGTAAGAATGAGTTAGAGAAGGATAGGTATATTGTTTATCCTTCTCTAACTCATTCTTACGCTTACGGTTACGATTGCGGTTCCGGATACAGATCTATTCTGCGTTGGCCTGTAGCGTTTTGCGTTTTGTAACTAGGCAATGAGTGCAAATAGAGCAAAAATATACCTCCATCTCTCTCACACTCATGGCCTAGTTACAAAACGCAACGAAAAACGCTGTCATGGGACTCCAGCCTCATTAAAAAATTTTTAAAGAATATTGTAGGCAAAACAGATTTGCATATAAGACAGTTGGACTTTTAAGGAAAAAGTAGATAAGGTTGTTATACAAGATAATTTTACTATAATTTCATTGGACGTCGTATCGATGTCTCTTATTATTGATTGTGTTAAAAAACGATGGAATGAGATACAACCGTTCACCACTCTACATCTAGACGAATTATTAAAAGCTCTAACATTATGTCTCGAAAACTCATACTGACAATTTAAAAATGAATTCTTTAAACAAAATTTTTTCTTACTTTTTATCTTACCCATTAGACACAGACATGTCCTGCAGATGTTTTCATGTTGACTAATGTACCGTTTGTACTGACCATTTTTACCTAACCAAAAATAAATTATTAATTCTGATATAGAGATAGGGTAAATAAGGTTGATTGAAGTTCAGGATATTTTTAAAATAACTAACTTTGTATTTGTTTATTAAAATTTTTAACCATTTATTCCAAAATTTAAAAATTAATTTTTAAATATTTTAAAATATAAATATCGAGGTAGAATTGTGCAGTTTGTGTAATTTTAAGATTTAAATTATGCAGATTTCCATATACAAATTGCTAAATTTCCAGCGCAGTACATATATAAAAGGTGTTTGAGTTGATAAGTTATTTCAAATCCATAACCTTCACCGACGACGGTATGCCAAGAAGCTCCAAATCGTTTATCCATCGTCTCTTTAATCATGCGAGAAACACTTTCATAGTTATCTGCATATTTCTCAGCAGCTGTTACACACAATTCCATTACTTCTTGCTTCATTTCATCACTCATGTCACATTTCTAAAAAGATAATAATTGTAATTTATTATTTTTATTTAGTTTCACCTTGTTTGAATATAATAATGTGTCAACAAAATCAAATAATAAATTATTTAAATGTTTTACACTAGGATGTTGAAATATAAGTTATAGGTTGATTTCATTTCAATTCAGACAGACTATATATGGGGCAAAATTTCTCAAGTGTACCAATTTCAAAATTGCAAGTTGTTGGATCGGGCTAATATTTTTACAGTATTTAGTACTTTATGAGTACTTCAACCACCAAGTATTATGAAATTTTATAAAAAAATTGTAGAGGGAGGAGAGAGTTGAACATTTTGGATAAGTATGAACAGTGAGTTTTCTAAAAAATCGTAGCTTCTATATTATAAAGTAAAAAAAATTTTGGCCTGTATGTTTTTGGTAGGTTTTTTCACGCTCTTTCAAATGGTGAAAATTTTTTTTTTAAATTCAAAATTTAACCCTTTTTTTGAAAATTAAAAAATTTTTGATTTTTTTTTCAAGAAGGACCCTTTTTTTCTTTTTTTTGTACCAAAATATTATTTCACATTTCTAAAGAATATTTTTTTTATTTTTTACATTTTTGATGTGAGAAAAGATGATTTCTTTTTTACATCAATAATTTTTTTATTATTTTAATAGTATTTATTATTATTAAATTATTTTGTAATTAATTTATTAGGAATTTTTATTAATATTTATTTATAAAACGTCAATTTATCCAAAATACTTCATATTGGACTCGTTGGATGCGGATTTTGTAGTGCTTTACAGTACTAAATTCAGAATTGCGTTAACTTTATTTTGTTGTAAAATATTTCAATTTTTATTAATTAATTAATTAATAATTCAAGAACAAAAAAAAGGCATTTTTTTCGTTTTAGTTATTGAAAGTACACATCTTAAGCTTTCTTTTGGTACAAAAAAAAGAAAAAAGGGTCCTTCTTGAAAAAAATATCAACAAAATTTTTAATTTTCAAAAAAGGGTTAAATTTTGAATTTTTTTAAAAAAAATTTCACCATTTGAAGGAGCGTGGAAAAACCCACCAAAAACATATTGGTCAAATTTTTTTTATTTTGTTATATAGAAGCTACGATTTTTTAGAAAACTCACTGTTCATACTTATCCAAAATCTTCAACCCCCTCCTCCCTCTACAATTTTTTATAAAATTTCATAATACTTGGTGGTTGAAGTACTCATACATAGTACTAAATACTGTGAAAATATTAGCCCGATCCAACAACTTGCAATTTTGACATTGGTACACTTGAGAAATTTTGCCCCATATATATGTATATGTAAGTGAAATTATCGTTTTCTGTGAAATATATTATTTTTCAAACAATTTTAGACGACACGTGTTTTTATTGAAATTAAGTTTCACAAATGGAAAGAAATTCGTTTTGTTGTTTTCAAGAAAAGGTTGTTTCAGTTTGATCTGGTAGAAACTGCTCATATTTAACTTTCTAACAATATATTTTTTTTAATAATTACAACAAATAAAATATTCATCCTATAGGATAAATATTTTTTATCATAAATACATATAAAAAATGAGTTTTCCAATTTAATGTCATAATATTTTATATTTACTGAGAAACGGTAAATTTTTGCATATGGGTCCCAAAATTGACTATCACGTCAGGATTTTGAGAAAAGTGGGGGAAAAGAGTCCAAAAAACGTGTTTTTGAGTGTTTTCAACATTTTTTATCTCTTTAACCTGACGTGCTAGAAACTTCAACAAGGTCTTAAATTAAAGCTTGAAACGTGAATTTTTAAATTTATATGCAAAAGACAAAAAAACCAAGGATTTTAAAAAAAGTGGGGGTGGTACAAACCCCCAAAAAATTGTTTTTGTTATTTTTGATATCTGAATTGTTTCTAATGAAACAATTTAGTTTCAGTTTAGTCCGCACTGAACACGATCTTTGATCCTAAAATTGACCATCACGTCAGAATTTTAAGAAAAGTGGGAGGAAAGACACGAAAAAACGCCAGGTCAGAGAAAAAAAATGTTGAATACCCTCAAAAACACGTTTTTGGGCCTTTACCCCCACTTTTTTCAAAATTCTTAATTTTGTTGTTGTCTATTGCATATAGGTTTAAAAGTGCACATTTCAAGCTTTGATTTAAGACCTTGTGGAACTCTCTAGCAAGTCAGGTTAAAAAGAAAGAACATATTGAAAACCCTCAAAAACACGTTTTTTGGACTGTTTACCCCCAATTTTCTCAAAATTCTGACGTGATGGGCAATTTTGGGACCCGGGTCGTGTTCAGCGCACCAAAATACATTTGGATAGGGTACTGTGGTCTGCCGCACATGGTACTTTTATTTTTTTGTGGGGCTGTGTCAAGGTCGCTAATTACGAAATCGGTGATAGGCATTTAAAATAGTGCAATCATTATGATAATTTATTTTTTTAAATATTATCAAATCTTTTTTATACTTACTATTCAAGAGTTTATGCGGATTAGAAATCTAAGATCAATTGGATAATTGTAAAAACCAAAAGGCTTGCTAATAAGAAATTTATTCTTTATATAAAATTTGTAGAGAATTTTTCTTATTATATATAACATTATTCCATACCACCTTTGGGGTTTTGCAAGAAGTGCGTGAATTCTTTTTTAAAGTGAATCCTCGCCTGCATAAACGTCGTCTTATATAAGTAATCAGGGACCCCAAAAACCTTACATTAAAAACTTTTATGACAATCCGATTAATTTTTAATTTTATTGTCCACCATATATTGGATCCGACATTTTGAATTTTTAAAAACTGACCTCATATTAGTAATCAGCGACCCCGAAAGCCCTCGTGTAACAATTTTCAGGCAGTTTTATAATGTTTTAAAAATTCGTGATTTTTAACAATAATTTATGTATTTTTTAAGAAATAGGAATTTTTTGACACGACTTGGGTTCAATATATATTTAAAGCTCTATTCTTCCTAAAGAAAAAGCACCAAATTTGACTTGAAAATTTTAATTTTCATTTTAATAAGTATCATATGAACAAGTAGCGTTGCTCAGTGGCAAAAATAGAATATTGTGTGGCAAGGGCGGAAAGTTGTCAATTCCTGACCGAGTTGCACACGATATTTTTTGTCCAAATGCGCGATAAACAAGACGCAACCGTAAATTCAAAAATGAATATGCACTAATTATTAAATGCGTATGAAACATTTTTATTAAGCCTAAGGCGAGTCCGAATATTTTTGATAAATTTAACAATAAAATTTTACTTAAAAATTGACTCCGTTTTGATTTGAAGTAATAGAAAGTGATAATATAATAATCAGTAGTATTTATTTAATACTGCTAAAGCAGCGGGCCGAAAAGTCATTTTTCCGCCCGCTGTTTTTAGTCGGGCGGCAAAAGCTTACTTTCCGCCCGCTATGCATGCACGGAAAGTCGAGTTTATCGCGCATGTAGGACAAAAATGTACTTTTTTGTTTCAAATAACTCTACAGGTCACAATTTTTTACCAAAACAATTTTTCTTTTATTCTAAATCTTCGAAACTAAATTCTTTATCGATCTCAAAAATTCTCTTGAATTTTTGCTTTTAAACATTTTTTTAATAACAATAAGTACTAAAAAAATCATAAAATCGTAAAAAATATTTTTTATTATCTTTATTAATTAAGAAAATTAATCAAAAAACCTATAAAAATAATGTTTGAGTGTTTCTGACTTATGAAAAAAGTATAACAATTAATTAAATTATTTAAACAATTAATTGTTGTTATTTTTTTATAAACTATAATTCAGACTAGAAAATTTAAATTTTTTCTCAATTGAGGCTCCGCATGGGCACTTTCAGCAAGGATTTTAAATGGTAAAAGTGCCCTTTTAAGATCCCCCAGGTAGAAATTGACGACCGGGATGGTACCGGCCCGGTACAAACGGCAAATTATAAGTGCCGGGGCGGTACCGGCATAAGACCGTAATTTTTACCGTCTCGGTACCGGCAAATTGCCGGATGATAACTGCGGCAGGTATCCGGCATACGTACCGGGCCGGTACCGAATTGTCCACCGGGGCGGTACTGGCCCGGTTATTGTTGGAAGGCATTTAGTGCCGGTTTATTACCGGCTGCACAACCGGCTAGGTACTGGTCCAGTACCGGCATAAATCTGTTCATTCCACCGGCGCAGTACCGGTAAATTGCCGGATGATAACTTCGGTAGGTATCCGGCAACCGTACCGGGCCGGCACTGATGAATATCTGACACAGTACCGGGCCGGCACTAATATTCAACCGGTGCGGTACCGGGCCAGTATTTGTATTTTCTAATTTATTTTAATTTAATTTAAATCATTAAAAATAAATAAATAAAAATAGTAATTATAAATAATAATAACCGCCCTATTCACCGGCTAAATACCGGGCCGGGACCAATAAGCAACCTACTCGGTATTAATATACACGGAAAGAAAAAGTCCGTCAACCATTAATGGATTAGTATATTACTTTGAGACGGGACTCTTTTTCCGTTGATGGTTACTTAACTTTACTTAACGATTGAAAACGAGTCATGGATTGATTACACGGAAAGAAAAAGTCCGTCAATCATTAATAGACTAGTATATTACTTTGAGACGGGACATAAAATCATTAAATGCATAACATACTTTGAGTCACAATCAGTGACGAGTTGCTTGCTAAAATTTAGAAAACTGTCATCAATATATAAAACTCGTTCACTAAAATTTAGAAAACTGTCTATTAAATTTTCTATGACTATCAAAAGCATTCAAAAAATTCAACTTCTTTCAGAATTATCCCTAATTTTAGACACTATTTGGTACAGAATGAACACATTTTTTTCGTTGCACAGTTCCGATATTTTATTTACACTCTTAGACGCTTTAGACCAACACATTTTCGCACTTATAATAACTACACGTAGAAACGCACACTTATAACATTTTAAGTTTAGAAGCGAACTGTTCTTATATACCAAATAAAAAAATTTTTCACAACTTGTG